AAACAACACGGCAACAACATGCAAACAACAAGCAAACAACACGGCAACAACAACACAATATGTCAACAACACACAAACATGTTAACAACACGCAAACAACATGTCAACAACACGTCAACAACATGCCACCAACACGCCAACAACACGTAAACAACGCGCAAACAACATGTCAACGACACGCCATGGAGACAGTCAGTCATGTGACTCACAGGTAGTTGGTGACGTTGGTGACTTCGGGGAACGAGGCTCTGCTGGCCATCGAGGGAAGAGATAGTCTGGCTGAGGTCAGGACGTTCCCACCCTACACACACATGGAATTTATCTTCCTGTCATTTAGAATACATTACCCAGAAGGCCTATAAATAAATACCTGCTGTAATCCAGCGACCCTGAGGACGTGGTCTCCCTGACCATGAGGACTTGGTTTCACCTGACCCTGAGGACGTGGTCTCACCTGACCCTGACCCTGAAGCCCTATAGATAAATACCTGCTGTAATCCAGCGACCCTGAGGATGTGGTCTCCCTGACCCTGAGGACGTGGTCTCCCTGACCCTGACCCTGAAGCCCTATAGATAAATACCTGCTGTAATCCAGCGACCCTGAGGACGTGGTCTCCCTGACCATGAGGACGTGGTCTCACCTGACCCTGACCCTGAAGCCCTATAGATAAATACCTGCTGTAATCCAGCGACCCTGAGGACGTGGTCTCCCTGACCCTGAGGACGTGGTCTCCCTGACCCTGAGGACGTGGTTTCACCTGACCCTGAGGACGTGGTTTCACCTGACCCTGAGGACGTGGTCTCACCTGGTCTATGACACTGATGGCGTCCCTGATGTTGATCTTCTGATACGCCTCCCACAATTCACTCTTCCTGTACACTGACTTCCTCAAGAGCAGCTTACTCAGGTAGTTCTTATCAAACTGCTCCCACCTGAGAGATAGACAGGGGGAGAGAGAGAGAGAGAGAGAGAGAGAGAGAGAGAGAGAGAGAGAGAGAAAGAGAGAGAGAGAGAGCGAAAGAGAGAGAGAGAGAGCGAAAGAGAGAGAGAGAGAGAGCGAAAGAGAGAGAGAGAGCGAGAGAGAGAGAGAGAGAGAGAGAGAGAAAGAGAGAGAAAGAGAGAGAGAGAAAGAGAGAGAGAGAGAGAGAGACAGAGAGAGAGACAGAGAGAGAGAGAGACAGAGAGAGACAGAGACAGAGAGAGAGACAGAGAGAGACAGAGAGAGAGAGATAGAGAGAGAGAGACAGAGAGAGAGACAGAGAGAGAGATTTGATGTTTTAATCTAAATGTGTTGACTCACTACTGAACATTAATAATATATATATATATATATATATATTATATTCAGATGTTTGAAACACAAGCTGTAGTTATTAATCGTTCATAAATGCAGCGTCTCCTGCTGTTCACTGTCACTTATTACACTATCGCTAGTATGAATATATATCTGTTATTACTGATTATAGAGTTATTAACATGTTAGTGGGACAACAGAATCACAGTGATGTGGTATAATATTAAATGTTATTATGATATTAAAAGTCTTTATTATATTAAAAAGTTATTATGCTATTAAATATTATGATATTGAATGTTATTATACTGTAACATTACTGTGATATCAGTACAACAATATGATGGACTGACTTGTCTCTCCAGTGGTGATATCCCTGAAGTCCTGCTATGTCCTCTATGGCTGCCAGGATGTGGTCAAAGGCCTGGAGACAACAACATCAACATCAACAACATCAACATCAACAATAACAACAACATCAACATCAACATCAACAACAGCACATCAGCAGAGGAAGCGTGAGATGTTGCTGAAAGGTCTGGAGAAATGTTTCTCCTGCGTTATACTAATCGTAGTAGTAGCAGTATTATTATTATTATTATTAGTAGTAGTAGTAGTACTACTACTGTAGTAGTAGCAGTATTAGTGTTATTAGTAGTAGCAGTAATAGTAGTAATAGCAGTAGTAGCAGTATTAGTAGTAGAATTAGTAGTAGCAGTAGTAGTAGTACTAGTAGTAGTATTAGTAGTATTAGTATTAGTAGTAGCAGCAGTACTAGTAGTATCAGTAGTAGTATTAGTAGTACTAGTAGTACTAATGGCAGTACTAGTAGTAGTCTCACCCTCTCGTAAATCTGCTCGTTAATCGTCGGCTTTCTGCTCGTTGAACGAGGAACTTTGAGCCAGTTCACCAGAGGTTTGATGGTCAGACCCTGAAGGAGGAACACAGAGGAACACATGATGAGGAGGATGATGATGGTGATGATGATGAAGATGAGTCCTGGTCTCCTACCTGAAACATGACTGTGAAGAAGACGACCACGATCGTCGTGGCGACGAAGTAGTCCTTGGCCTTGACGTGGTCCCCGTCCAGTAGAACCACCAGCGCGAACGCCACCGCACCCCGCAGGCCACCATACGACATCACCACCTGGTCAATCTTATCCAGCGGTACAAGCCGGAAGCGGTTCAGGACCCAAGTCTGACCGATCACACCTGGAGCACAGAGATCACTACAGGTCAGGACGGCCATCGAGGACACACCGGCGTCCAATCAGAAGAGATGTTTATTGTTCCATTGCTATGGCAGTTGACAAACCTGCGGCCCTGAAGACGAAGATGAAGACGAGGGTGCAGGACACCAGGCCTGTGTCCCAGGCCCACTTGGACTTGTCCACTGCCGAGATCCCCAGGAAGATGAAGATGATGGTCTCTGCGATGCTGGCCAGAGTCTTCATGGTGTACTTCACCGTGGTCCGGGACTTCTGGGAGATGTTGGCCTCCACGTATTTGTTGGCTCCGATACCACAGAAGGTCATTCTGAGGAGGGAGAGAAAGAGACGTCTGGTGATGGAGACACGGCCTGGAACCACATAGAACTACATAGAACCACATGGAACCACAAAGTGGAAATTGGTCTGCTGGGAAATACCCAAAGTCATCATACAAACTGAAACTACCAACAACGAACCCAGTGAACTTAGCAACCATCACAATAATCTCGATGGTTGTACTGGTCAGAGTGGTATCTATGGTTGTACTGGTCACAGTAGTCTCTATGGTTGTACTGGTCATAGTGGTCTCTATGGTTGTACTGGTCA